GCGGGAAGGTATACGAATGACAACGGCAGAGCGAGTGGAACTTAGCTCCTGAGAGCTACTATATCCTTGAATTGTTTCTGATTATTTTTCCTGCTCAAATGGTACTTTATTGAAATATCACGGTTTTATTTAATAAAGTTGAGATTGCTATTTGAACAATGTGCTTGCATGTGTGTCCTTGGCCTCACGAGCGTTTTGCTCACCCTGTAGATTTGTTTTCCTTAACAGGACTGGAAATGGAGTTAACGCGGAGAAATCTCCTTTTAGATATATTGTGTTTTAGGGTTTCAAGTGTATTTTGGCTCGACCCCTTTATGATTGTACTTTTGGAAGTTTAATGTATCATTCGGATATATGGGGTGTATATTTTGGAATTTAAGTTGTATTATGAACGCACGACGTGCGGGTGGCAAGCTGATAGGTACCTTGTGATGTGACCTGAGAACTGTATGGATATTGTTAACATGAACGTTTCCGCACTATATGTATTTGCACTAATTTGATTGTGGTATCTAGTATCGCCTTAAGCTTGAACGTTTATTGCTTGAGTCCTGGCGAGAGCTAGGCAGGCGTTCCGCGGATACCCTTTGGTGCGCCTTAGGGAGAAGTGGGGGCGTCACAATTTATGTTTTCTTTGCCACTTTGACTCAAATAGCGATTTTAAAGTTTTACAAGTGAGTCTAAGTTTTACAAATATTTTACTTATGTCCTTTGGTTTCAATGTACTCTTTTCACTACTAAAACCATATTTATACTTTGTACTAGTATGTATTCGACTTGTCTTTGACTCACTTACATCTTTGATGGTTGAAGCATAATGTGTTTGTTTGATTATTAGGGTTCCTTGGTGATTGAGAGTATTATCCGGAAGGAAACTTTGGACGTTATTTTGCTTAAATAGGTGAGTGTTCCTTGTTTGTTATATTCTCCTTGACTTCATGACTTGTTGTTGTTGTTTGATAATGTGTGAAGTGTTTTCAAGGATTTCCAAAACGAGTTTTCTAGGCGAGCGTGTATTTTATCGCACTTGACCTAAATGAAACGTGAAATTTTCAATGATTTAATGATTGATACATTAGTTGTGCATGATGTAAGCCTTTTGGCTGAATTGGGCCCTGCCCTTCGTTACCGATCGACTCGAGCCAAAAGCGGACTCGGTCGGGCAATATGGTGACCCTGGGTGTGAACGTTGGTATACCCGAGTATTACCTTGTTGTCGGGTGGAGTCTGGCCAACATCCGGATGGGGGTGAAATGAAATGAACGAACGAACGAGGGTTTTACTTACAAAATGCATTTTTTTAAAATGATCGGAGGAATAAGGGGAATGGCAAGAGAACGAACGAACGAACGAACAATTGGCTCCCTGTGAGCCCGTATCCTTTTAATGAATGTGTTACTATTACTTTCCATTGTAAATGTTTCTTGAATTATTGATACTCTATGTTTAATGTATTGAATTGATTGTTTGATTATGTATTCGGAACCTCATTGAGCTTTTAGCTCATCCCTTTAGTTTTGTTTTCCTTAACAGGGGAAGGCGAGCAAGGACGAGAGCTCGGTAGAGATTAGCCTAGACTAGTTTTTTTTATTTTGTAATGGTTCTCACCCTAGCGCTTGGCACGGGTTGGATGTATGATGAATTGAGAACCTTTGTATATTTGAGTCTGTACTCCTTTTGAGATAGAAATGTACATAAGGTTACTCTAGGTTTTGGATTGTTATTATGTTTCATTCTTGTGATTTTATTTTGGAATTGATTGAGGTATAACTGAGTCCCGGCGAGAGCTGGGCAGGCGGTCCGCCGAACCCTTTGGTTCGCCTTAGGGGGAGGTGGAGCTGTCACATATTGTTCATCTGCTCACAGGTCTGCCTCCTTTGTTGTCTACTGCAATTCCTACTAAAATAAGCTGCAGACTTGTCATAGTTTATGCACTGGCCTGAGGCTAGTTCATATTTTGCAAGGATCCCTTTCATGACACTAGCTTCCTGTGGGTGTGCCTTACAGCAAAACAATGAGTCATCTGCAAAGAATAAATGGGAAAGTATAGGTCCATTTCTACTCACTTTGAGTCCTGTGATCTTCCTATTTTCAATTGCCTTTTCCATGAGATTGGACAAACCTTCTGAACAGAACAAAAAGAGGTAGGGAGATAAGGGATCCCCTTGTCTAATACCTCTACTAGGCTTAACATATCCTACCCTTTCCCCATTAACATTAAACGAATACGTCACTGAAGACATGCAATTCATAATCCATCTTACAAAAATAGGACAAAAACCCATTTTTAGCATCATTCTACCCACAAATTTCCACTCCACACAATCATAAGCCTTTGACATGTCAAGCTTTAGGATCATAAAAGCAGTATTACCCTTCGTTTTGCTTTTTATAAAATGCATGATTTCATGGGCCAAAATGATATTATCCACAATCTGTCTACTAGGTACAAAGGCTGACTTGGAAGAGCTAATACATAAGGCAATAACTCTTTTTATTCCGTTGGCCAGAATTTTTGCAATGATTCTATAGAGCACATTACAGAGACTAATTGGCCTATAATTTGGCAGAGAGATAGGATTATCTACCTTTGGAATGAGGGTTATACTAGTCTCATTTATGCTCTTCAAAAGATGGCCATTACTCAAAAAACGTTGGATAGCAGACACCACATCATTTTTGATAGTATGCCAATATCTTTGAAAAAATAAAGGTGTCATACCATCAGGTCCAGGTGCTTTGTTTGGGTGCATGGAGAACACAGCTGCTTTAACCTCCTTTTCCTCCACTGGTTGTATCAAACTTTGGTTTAGCCTACTTGTAATTGATACAGGCACCCCTTCTAGCACTTCTTCTATATTTTTTGGCTGAGATGTTGTGTACATTTCTTCATAGTACCTGCAAATCTCCTGGATGATTTGTTGATTATCCGTACACCATTCGCCATTTCCTTTCTGCAAGTTGGTTATTTTATTCCTTTTCCTTCTTGTTTTCGCGCCAGCATGGAAGTACGCTGTGTTCTTGTCTCCTTCCTTGGGCCATCTACTCCGTGCCTTTTGTGCCTAGAATAATTCCTCAGCTTTGTAGGCACTGCTCAATTTTAGTTTCATTTCCACCATCCTCCCTCTTTTTCCTTTATCGTTTGACTCGTTGAGCTCCTATATCTTCTCTTTAATCTCCTTGATCTGTATTGCAGTGTTTTGTTTATGCAATCTATTCCAACTTAACAGGGCTATCCAGCACTCTCTGATTTTCCTAGTAATTTTGAACATCCTTGAGCCCACCTGTGGTTTTTCCCAAACAGTTTTTACTACCACTTCTACCTCTTGGTTTTGGGCCCATTTTTTATCAAACACAAATCTTTTCCTCATTTTCTTTAGCTCGGGTATAGTAGTCAGTACCAACATTGCATGATCAGAGGCCTCATTTTCCACATGCTTGCAAATTGCCTCCCCGAACATTTGGAACCAACCTGTACTACTCAAGCATCTATCGAACCTTTGTTTTATCTCCCCTTCATTTTCCCATTGGTTGCTCCAAGTCCAAGGGTTTCCTTCAAAATGTATATCTACCACCCCAGTTCTCTATATGAAGTTCCTGAAGTTCCTAAACCTGCGCTCACTTCTTGTTCTACCCCCTCCCCAATTTTTCTTCATTTGATATGATATCATTGAAGTCTCTAATCATCATCGATTTATCCCCCCATACCTTCATTCTTTCCTTCAAAAACTCCCATTGACCCCTTCTGATTACATCATCTGTACTAGCATAGAATCCAATATACCACCATTCTTCCCTTACATCCTCATCAATAATTTTAATCTCAATTGAACATTCCAAAGTATAGATCCCTCGGACTTCTGCCTCCTGCTTCCAAAACATGGCTAGACCACCAGCTCTACCTTCTGGTTCTACTACAACATTTTTGTCAAACTGTATTTGCTTCATGACAACATCCATAACTCTTTATTCATTTTTTGTTTCTGATAGAAATACTACCATTGGAGAGTGGAGGCATATGACCTCCTTGAGTTGGGGAACTGTCAAGGGGCTCTCGGTACCTCAACAGTTCCACGCCATGACTCCCATTTACACTGTGGAGACTTCTCTGGGCTTGCCTCCATCGCCCCTTGTTGTGTTCGTAGTATCACATCCAGTTTCAGCATTTTTGGTTTTTGCTCCTCCACTTCGTCAATCTCCATCATACTACCTCCCTGAGCATCACTTGCTAATTACCTCTTCCCTCTCATTCTGGAACTTCCTATTTCGTTTGTAACATCAGTCATAGGTTTCCTTGTGACTCTTGGCCTTCTTTTCGACTGCATTCCTCCCTTTTTAGTTCTATCTTTTTCTTCCACCACATGTTGTTGATTCTCCTGCGCCCTTTGTCCCTCATTGTTACTCAGTCTACTTCTTTTTTCACAGTCATCCGTGTCCATCACCTGGACTACTACAAGCTCTTTTTTGTTTTCATCCCCCTGTTGGTGCCTTTGTTCTATTTCACCCCTTTTAACACTCATCTCTTTCCCCTCCTTACCTCCACTAGCTCCCTCTTCTCTTTCTACTCCCTCAATATTTTTTATTTTTCCTCCATCTTTTTTTGAATTCTTCTCCTCTTATTGCTCCTTACTCTTTTCCTTTTTTGTCATATCCCCTCCCCTATTCTCTAGGCTAATCTCTGTCCTACTTTTCTGATCTCCCACCCCTTCTCTCTCCTGTATCATACTTACTTGTCACTTTTGTGCATCTATCCTCCCTATCATGCTTCCTTCTAATGATCTATTGGCCCTTAAAGGAGAGGCCATGATATGCCCTGCCCTCATCCATGCCCCGTACTAGTCTTCTCTCTAGTTATGCTCATTTTCCACAGTTGCTTTGCATGTTTTATCTCCATGCCCTATTATTCCACATTTGTAGCAGAAATCTGGGCATTTTTCATATCTAAACTCAACCCAGATTGGGTTCCCATTGAACTTGACAGTGGTACCCCTTGCCAATGGTTATGATATATCTATTTCCTCCAGGATTTTCATATGTCTCCCCTCCTTTCCTCCTCTTGGTGGGATGATAATTTCTCTAATGGCAGAGAACATTTGTTCGAGCTTAAATTCCACTGCTTTACTCAACCAGTGGATTGGGAGATTCCACACTTGTATCCACATGTGAGATACATGGAACACTTCTGTACTTTTCTCTATATCTGGAGCCCATGGTTTTATGACAAGCAGTTGGTTATCAATAACCCATGGTCTTCCATTCATGGCTTTATCCTTGTCTTTGTCCTCTGCAAAGTTAAACTGGAAGACACTGGGGCCGAGTTCCACAACGTGTAGGTTCCTGGGGTAGCCCCACATGTGTGATGTGTAGTTTTTTACCCCTGTAAAGTTTGGAACTTTCTCACCCATAATCCTTCCTACCAAGCTCAACTTACATTCCTCAACTCTCTCTAGCACATCCTCTGTCTCTAAGTCTATTCCTGCCATTTCTTTGTTGCTTAGGTCAAACCGTTGGAACGCCTTTGTGAGTGTCGCCGCCATACTGCCGTGCTTCTAAGTGGTGCCTGTGTCAATTGCAGCTGCTAATACCAGGTTTGCTACCTTTTGGATCTATAGGAGTCAGAGCAATCTGAGTTAACCACAAGATAACATAGTTTATAAGCAGAAGTAAAAGAAGAGAGTGAAAGAAAGAAAAAACAAAAAAAAGTAGAAGAAAAGGCCCAGAAAGCCAAAAGCTTTAAAAGCCAAAGTGGAGCTAAGCTACTTTATGACCCCATGACCGACAATATCAAAGCTCCTGCATTCAATACTGGGAACAGAGTACCGACTTGCATCCTTCTGCTGAGACAGCTTCCAGTAACAGTTTAGATCTAATACTATTTGTTTTGTGTGTTGCTAGATGATTTGGAAATTGTATTTTGGATTTCTTGAAAATATTGGATTTGGCGGTATTTGCTACGGTATTGGATCTTGTGTTTTGAAGTTTGAGTGTTGGGTTTTGAAGTTTGAAATTTGATTGTTTGAAAGTTTGAAACTTTTTTGTCTCCCACACTGGAGAGAGGATTCTCTACTTAGAGAGAGAGCTCCCATTTTAGGGAGTGCCTGGTCTATCTTAACTATTGTGGGAATGTCATTGATTGACTTGAAACATAAACTTGTGCTCATTCTCGTATTTGATTATACTCAGAGTTGATTGCCTGAGCATCTGCTTGTGCAGCTTTGATCAACCACACGGAAGGTTGACTTCCCCCTAGTTTTGCTAGGTAGCTTTTAGCACTAGTGGCCAACGTGGCAAATAATAGCATTGTTTTTCATCTTCTTCATTCATGTGGCTAACCATGTTGATGTCCTTGTTGCCGGAGGAGGTGAAAATGACATCTCCCCTAGAGACCACATCTTCCAGCATTGAAACTAGGGAACTTCCACGAGGCCTTGAAGAGTAACGCTGAGTCCACTGAACTTTGTCTCGGTGGCCACAAGAAAATCCTTTTTTTGGATTGTAAGTGAGAGTTCGAATTTCATCTGTAGCAAAAAAAATTTAAAGAAAGTGTTAGAACATCTCTTTGGTCTATTCAAATCCCAATTGCAGCAAAAAAAAAATTCAAAAGAGATGTCGGAACACTCTTTTAATTACACGGCCTCTTTAGATTTCTTTTCCTCGTAGAATAGGATAGATTAGATTATACAAATATTATTGTTACCATAAAGGAAAAAAGGAGCCTTGAAGAGCACAAATTGGATCAACCTCAGTCACATAACACAACCACCAGCTTGCTTCTCCAACTTGAAGCATCGGAAGAAAGTATAATTTGAATCAGTCCGACGACTTGGACTTTTCCAACTTGGCAAGTCCACGCAAGACTTCACAGCGAGACTGCCATCCTCGCTTAATTGTCCGGGACCAACAATCCGCGGCCTCACCTACTTAATAAATGCCAAACGACTTTGAATTAGCAGCAAATCCCAATCCTACGCCAGCTTCTTATTTTGTCTTCAATGATGCAACTAGCAATCATTCCATAAAAATATTGAGTTAGCAATTTTTCCCACTTAATTTTGTTCCAATGTTTACTCTTCTTGTATACCTCTCCTTCCACTTCAGTCTGTGTTCACCATCACTTCCAGTGACACTCCACCTTACACGCCCACAGATTATATTCTGATCAACTGTGGCTCATCCTCAACGCAACTTCAACCGATGGCCGACACTGGGAAGGCGATGTGGGCTCAAAATTCTTGCCGAACGACGTTGCAAATATTTCATTAGCAGACACAGCAACCGAACAACATTCCTCAGTCACCCAAATCCCTTTTCTAACTGCCCGTATCATTCGATCTCAATTCTCTTATACCTTTCCAGTCTCCCCCGGCGAAAAGTTCCTCCGCCTTTACTTCTACCCGTCCTCCTACTCCAGTGGCCTCAATACATCTGAATCTTTCTTCACTGTCACGGCTAATAACTACACCCTGCTCAGCAACTTTAACGCATTTCTTATAGTTTCTGCCAAGAAATTCGCACCTGCCTCCCTCATTAAAGAATTCATCATCAATGTTCAGGGTATGAATCAATTCCTCAAGGTTAACTTTTTGCCCTCTATGAATTCCTACGCGTTCGTTAATGGAATTGAAGTTGTTTCAACCCCGGACGACCTCTACATGGGTAACCATGACATGTACGCTAATCCCCTTAAGTTCGTGAATTGTCCCAATGTTCAGTTCGAGTTTGATCAGAACAAGACTGCCTTCGAAGCTCTTTACAGGCTCAATGTTGGAGGAAATGATGTTTCTCCGGTATATGATAGTGGGATGTTCCGAGAATGGGCTTCCGATGACAAGTTCATCTGGGGCGGAGATCGGAAATCCATTGAGCAATAATGAAATTGCTATCAAGTACACTCCGCAAACCCCAAATTATGCCGCGCCCCCGATAGTTTATGCTACCGCAAGGGCAATGGGCCAGTTTAGCACCAGCTTCAACTTGAGCTGGATCTTTCCCGTTGATTCTGGGTTTCTTTATCTCCTGAGGTTGCATTTTTGTGAGATCAATCCTGATTTGATTACAAAGGAGAACCAACGGGTGTTCACAATATTCATTAATAATAGAACAGCTGAGCCAGAGGCTGATATTATATATTGGGCACATGACCCTGGAATCTCGATTTTCAGAGACTACATCGTGTATGTTTCAAACCCACCAGATGGTCGCCCGGAACAAGCAAGACCTGTTTCTTGCTCTCCACCCAAATCTTGACGTCAAGCCAAAATATGCCGATGCAATCTTGAATGGCTTAGAATTGTTCAAACTGAATAGCTCCGAAGGCAATCTTGCCGGTACCAATCCTGGCATTGCGGTGGATCCCAATTCCCTGGTGTCAAACACCAAGTCACCGAATAAGGGGAGCAGCGGGGAAATTTCGGGTGTCTATTGCTATCGTGGGAGGGGTGGCGGGAGGGGCCGCCATGGCTTTAACCATAGGTTTCCGAACCCGGCTCCTCTCTAGGAGAGTAATCCTCCAGTTTCCCGCAATGCATACTTGGATGTCAGGCACATGTATTGAATTTTTAATCAATGGTCCGACAACACTACTCAACTACATGTTTCCCAACCATGGTTAGAAGACTCCAACCAACTTCAATCTCTCTCTTTTAGATGACTAAAATCGCTAGGACCTCTATGTCAACTTCTCCATAATTTTGGCTTTCATTCCCAAACGTTGTAAGCTATTACTTTTTGAGTTAATTTTTCCGACATCATTAGTGTAAACCTACTTTACATGGATGGCTCACCGTATTGCAGCACCTCGTTAATAAAAATTAGCAACCTATTATAATCTGCAACCATTACCTATTGCCAAATATAAAATAGTTTAATGATAAATATCTTGTTTAACTAACATGATAGTAGGAGCAAATTCCACGGCATTCATCATTTGTGAGCCCGAAAAATTTCTTATTTTTTTTATTATCGAGTATTATTGGTCTATTTAAATATTTATTCACCTATTTTCTCTAAATAATTTATTTCAACCATTCTAAATCCATTCATATGAAACAATGTCTTCCTTATGTTTTTAAAACGTCCTGTTAGTAAATTTAATTTTCGAAGGTTCGTTTAAGTGAGGAATAATGAGTACATGTGTTTTAAGGTGATATTCTATTCGAGAGTGCATTTATCTTGGGGAGTTAAGAATGATCAATAGTAGATTAAGAAAGGTTAACGAGGAATAAATACTAGACTCCTGTGAGGACTCGCAGAAATTTATTATTTTAAATTCCATTTCGAACTTATTTAAATATCTAATGGCCCGTTTGTTCCGAATATTATTTTCTAACCTTGTTAGACCTAATTATATGGGTCTATAGCTTCGTTATATTTCTAAAGTAACTTGTTTCAAAATTTAATTTTTGGAAACTCGTTTACAGTGAATAGTGTTACGCGTTTGGAGATTATAGCCGATTTGGGAGTACAATAAGTTTGAAAAATTGGAGACTTGTACAATGGTCTTAAAAATAGGTATTTTATGTTTAAGTACTTAAGTGATAGTTAGTAGTATTATCGTTATAAGAATTTCTTGGAAGTTTCACTTTATCGCGCTTAAATAGGAAATACGCATTTTTACGCGCGCGATTTAATTGAGGGACTTTAGATCCTTATTTTGGGACATTAAGAGTGAATAATATTTATATGAATATAAGTGTATTAAAGGTTTAGTGCACTAGTGAAACAAACTCGAGAGGAATCGAGCACAAAACGCGGGCGTACGCGCACTATTCCTAATTGACTTTGAAGCAAATTTTGGCCACAAATTTAAAAGCTTCTCACGGAAGCTTACTAACAGCACTAGCTCTTCTTTTCCTACTCCAAACAGCCAAACAACAAGGAAGAAAAACAGCTCCAAATTCCTCTTCATTTCTTCACTAAATCATCACCAAATCACTTCAAACTTCAACCACACCTTGCTAAGCATTTGGGGATTATCTTAAGCTACCTAAGAGCTTGCTTTTCCACGGTTTTTGTGAGCTCTAAGAGGACCAAAATTTCTGTTTAAGTTATCAACAAAAGTAAGTAACGATCAACCTTGATAATCTTGATTTATGGAAGTTCTATTGCACATCTAAGCTTATGCATGCATGTGGGTAGTTTGTTTATGTTGGAAAAATTGTTGTGTGGGCTCTATGAACTCCCATGTTGATTGGATGGACTGATTTGGTGAATGATGATGAAATTAATGTTGGTTTAGTGCTTATATTAGAGGATTAATGTGGGGTTGTTGAAAGAAACTCAAGGATGGTGTAATAAGCAAAAGTGACCATTTTACCCCTGCCATGTTCGTGCACTTTGGTGCGAATTTTTGAGATTTTAATGCCTTTTTTATGGTGTACACATGTTATAAGGATGGTGTAGAAAGTTTCATTGAAAAATAACATGATTTGGTTGGTCAAATGTGTCGATTTCTAAAGTTTGGCAGAACTAGAAAAGTTTCCCGGATTGCCCAGGCAGTCCTGTTGTTTCGGCTATAACTATTTACTCCGATGTCAAA